TGTGAAAGTCCATCTGAAATGCATAGAAAAGGAGAAAAACATCCAGCAGTTGTGGTTGTTCACACCTAGGGTGTCAGACAATGTCAAGCCTAGTGGAGGGAAACCACGGTGCCTCTGTGGGCATAAGAGCGGTTCTTCACAGCCTTCTGGACTCATTGTCCCATGGGGAGAAACTGAAGCTGCCATACCAGCAGGTATGGGGACCAGGCACATTCCCAGGAGATACACGTAGGAGACAAGGTGGGGACATGGAACAGAACTGACCTGACAGTGTCTATTGCTCAATGTCATGCAAAGTGCCGACAGATCCAAGTGCTCACTGCTCTCGGAAAGAGGTGTTTGGAGGAATTAATTTCCAAGTGCACCAGTAAAGCAATTCCCCTTGCTTTAATTTGTCTACATCTTATGTGACACCTTGGGGTAACCATTTGGCCTCTGCTGCTCCATCCACATCCTCATTTCTCTAATTTCTGTCATGTCTTCCTAATTAATATTGCCAAAACCTATCCTCTTCTCTCCCCTCTCTGTTAAAACATTTTCCTAGAACACCTCTTGTCTCTGTATTTTACCAGTTTAATGTCTTCAAATGATTCTTTAAAATGTGTCTTGTGCAACAACAGTGCGTGATCCTGAAATTAGGACTGTATTGTATCATCACCCCACAAAAGAGGTAAAGTTAGCCATGTGTGGGCAGTGTGAAGAATGGCTCTTCTCACATTGATGACTTGCCTCAGCAGCCTTAATAGTGTCATTCTTCTAGAGTTTTCTTTTTGCCTTGTACATAAATTGGTCACATTTAAATTATCAGCATAACTGAGATGGCAATTATCACCAAAATCATTAAGACTGGCACATAGATGTATTTCATGTCCTCTGACATTTATCATACCTACACAGAGAATAACTTACACACATGCAGTAGGAAGGTGGGACACCTAGTGCAGACTCTACCTTGCACAAAGACAAGCTCCAGAGTCCTGCAGAAGTTGACGTTCAGGCTGTGGAACACTGTGTCTCTGTGCAAGTCTTCCTAGATCAGCCTGCTGTGAGAATGGAAGTCACTGTCCCCAGAGAGTGTCTGACTAAGTGTAATTTTTCCCTATGAGAGACAATGATTCATGCTGTGGACCTGCCATTTCACTGGAAATGGAGAGCATGACCCAGTAGGAGAAACATGCTGGCTGTAAAAGTATATGGGAAGAGACTGCAGGTATCATCTGGACATTGAGCGAAGGACTAGTGAGAAAGAAGAGATAATGGCATAATGGTGAAGAACTGTAAAAGTGAAATCATTAAGTCTGAATATGAGAGGGTGGACAAGGCAGCACCTAAGGAGAAACCCAACAAGATGCTGATATGGTCGATGTGATGGAGGCTCAGGCTGTGGGGATAGACAGGATGTTGGTAAGTGGGAAGGAAAAATGTGGTCTGCACTTGTCCATGTTACAGCTGCATCAGGATAGGGGAGAAAATAAAAGCCAGAGGTTTGAAAAATCATAGGAGAAAAATGAAGGATTTGGGTCTAGCCTGGATGTGTGCAGCAGAAGAAAAGTCAAAGACAAAGAAGCCTCCTTATTTAAATGTTTTTTTTTTCAGTGAGGAGTCAGGATTATTTCTCAGGCATTCTTACACAGTACAACAAGCAGTCCTACTATGGAAAACAATAGACATATTGTGAGAATTTTCACATGTATAGATGAGATAGATGTTTGCTGTAGCTTGCATTCCTCACTGTTCCTCGTCAGCCAGGAGGCAGTGGCCTCTGAATTGGGAAAATTAAAGGCTTCACAACCATGGTGTGGCTTCTTCAGAGCATGCAGGTGTTAGTGGCTCTCTGCAGAGCCATGGACTCCAGAAACCAGGAGAAAGGCTTGTGGCTGATCTCACTTTCTTCCTAACACTCCCATGGCTGCTCCTACACTATCTTGCCAGTAGTGGCCAAAGGAGATAACTTCGCGCTGGAAATGCAAGAGAGAATTCAGAGCCAGATGGGAAGAAATAGAAGTCTTGTTTTGAAATGCTGTTCTACTGACTCACTCAGTTTGGGCCGGCTGCTTACAGGTAATTCAGTGAGACAAGAGCAGCAAATTAAGTATTTTCTGTTCCCACAGAAAAAAAAAAAAACATGGTGACATTTTTCTCCATAGAATTTTTTGAGTTTGTCTAAAGTAGGACTTCTTAACAATTTCTCGGCAACCTGGGGCTAGACTCTGTTACAACAATTTACTTGGGATATGCATAGCAGATACATTTTAAAAGGTCATATAATGGTGGAATGTCTTTCTGGGGCCAGACAGAATTGTTCCCCCAGGCTACCAGTTGGAGAGCTCTAGCTGGGTTAAAAAAAAAAAGCGAAACAGAATGCAAATGCTATGTTTTTATATGTTGAGATTTGGGAAATGTTTAAGCAGAAAAAGAAAGAGTTTTCTTACTTTCAAAGCTAACAAAATCCCTTCTTTTCCTTTAGGAAAAAGTAACTTTTTTTTTTTTTTTTTTAAATTGACTTTCTGAACAAAAAGTTATAATCAGCTCTATCTTCAGTGGACCTAGCAAAACAAATTAAAGGCCTGATTTTCTGTATTATCCTCTACATTTTTACATTGCTTTAAAGTTGAAGGTCAGCAGGGTGGGAGGTTTTGAAGAGCAGCGTGACATACTTGTGATAATTAACTACCTGTACTTCTGCTATTTCTGTCCTTCTAGAGGTGGTACACATGGCAACACAGTCAACATGTTTGTCTGAGACCCAGCCACAGCAGGCACTCAGTTCTATGGGAAAGTAAGTTAAAACCAGAGAAAATGGTCTCAAACCCTGGAGCCCAAAATTGACTGGATTTGTATATTTGTGTCTCAGAAGCTAATATAAGGTCACTAAGATCCATTAACAGTCTCTAATTCCTGTTTTTGTTTACCTGGGCACATGAAGCAACACATCCAAAGAGCACCTTTCTGTTTTCAGGGTGAATATCCCACCATTCATTTTGGAGTTTACTTCATCAAACAAGCTGATGTTTAATTTCTCCCAGTAACACTCAATGTTAAGAAAAAATTCTGCTAAAATCCCTCAATTCCTGCCCAGTTATCAATCACAATCTCACAATACCTTGGAAGCATCAATAAATCCAGCCCCACAACTCTGGCCCACAACCTAAGTACGTGTTACTATCTTCATGAAGCCTTGTAGCCAGAAAGCCTTTGAGCTAAATGAAGATGAAGTAAATACCTGTGCAGAAGCTACTCCTTATTGGACTTTGCTCTCACATAATTTGTGCATTTACCTTTGGTCTTCTCACTTGTGGAGAACCAGGCTCAATAGTCCCCTAAATATTTATGACAGGAATGGCAATTTCATTGCCAAAGGTCCATTTCTAACACACGGATATCCTTGAAGCATTAATTTTCAATGTCACCTAGAGTTATGCTAGTCTGCTCATTTTGTTATGAGCTTTTATATGGTTAAAGCTCTAAAAAGCAGGTGGACTCTGGAGAGAATAGGGCTAATTCATAATTTCTCATTTGAATTTCCCAACTGCCTCTTCACACCAAACTCTTTGTCCTTCATTCCTCTAGTGCTTGAGAATGCAGCAACTCAGTGACTACTGGTGAAGGGGAACACTCTGTCCCCTCACATCAGGGGACAGAACTCCTTCAATCAAAGGGGAAAATAGTCTGTTCAGACCCTCTGTGGATGGGCATGAGGAACTATGCGTTGAGAAGGGACATGAAACTCTTGGAAGGAATGTCTGACATGCACCATAGCTAGCAAGGGATGAGGTAAGAATCTTGGAAGGTGGGCCATCCAGGAGGGGAAAGGAGAAAGCAGCATGGAAGGGGAGCATAGTGTGGAGACTGAGAGTAGCTTTAAAATCAAATGAAACTCCAATGAGTCTTAACTCTGGAAGTTTGCATGAGAGACAGAGTCCAGATCAGCTACACGCAACAGGGAAAGAAAAGCAACAATTTGTCCCCTTGCATTTCTACAAGGAGGTTTACAGGGAGTGCAGGGTGGCAGAGAACCAGAAGTTACACATCTCAGTAGTGGGCTCATGGATGGGGAAGATCCCCTGTCTACCGGGTGAGATGGGATCAATTGTGGTAGAGTCCCCATGTTGCCTCATTACCAGAAGGGACACTTCACAGCAACACCTCTGAAAACAGAGGGATCCCACTGAGACACCACGCACACATCACCACATGGTTGATGGCTGGATGAGCCCTCCTGCTGTAGGTACAGTGCAGGGTGTCCCTAGCTGGTGGCTCACAGGCAGCTGTGGCTGTGCTCTTTCCGTGCTCCAGCTGGTGGAGTTGAGCCAGCAGCGAGACCAGAGCTGTGTGAGAACAGTGCAGATTTCAAGCCCAGCCTCTTAACATGGCCTGTCAGATAAGACACAGGGTTAGCTCAGTCTATCTGTATCTGCTGTGGTGCTGGCTCGGGGCCATCAGGCTCAGAACATGGCTGTCTATGGTCCACCCAGCAGCCATCCCCCCAGCAGAACAGCCCTTCAGGCCTTGTCTTTTTTGCAGTCTAATGCATCACAACTGCTCCAAAGCTGCCCCCACAGCTCTGTTTTCCCTTCAACACCATGACATGGTTTTCCTTTTCTTTAGCTACAGAATTTCCCCTTCTGTCACATGCTCCTGCTGTTGACCCTGTCATCATTTCACCTATCCCCCCAGTCCCCTCCATTTTGCTTCAGATGCTTTAGTCTTTTCTGTATCTTCCCCACCTCCCCTTCCAAGGCAGGGGATATTTTCCACCCCACCACTAGCAGCCAAAAGCACCCCACTGCTGGTGAGATGCCAAACCTCCACCTCTAAGCAGCACACGCAACTCTGAGCATGAGACAATTAGGAGAGAAAGAGGGAAAGGGGAAAGTATTGACAGGAGTAAATTGAGAGAAATCATAAAGCTTAAGCAGAAAGAAAGCAGTTTGAAAGGTAAAGTATTCAGAGAAAGCCCTTTCCTGGATGAATCTAATTGTTTTGTTATCTTTACCCACCAAAGCATTTACTTTGGTTTGTCGCCCGATCCACAAACACTTTCGAGGAGATGACATTACCGAAAGGCAGGAACATCTGCATCAGCTCAGCATCCCCAAACTCCTGGGGCAGATGGTAGATAAACAGGTTACAGCCCTCTGGTCCTATCAAGAGAAAAAGAAGACCCATGAATGGAGAGAAATAGGATATGAGAAAGCACATGTTGAAGATTTACTTTGACAACCATCCTCTCTGACAGATGAGGGGTCACCTTTAGGAAGCAGTCTATAGACTCTCAGAGGAACAGACAAAGCAGAAGACCAGGAACTCAGAAAGTCACCTGGAGGCTATGCTAACTTCATTAACCTTTCCAGGACAGACACTGGGATAAAATCTAGAGACAGAGGAATGCAGCAGCACGTGTGACCATGGAAAGACAGAATGGAGGAATAAGAACAAAAGGAATGAAAGAATGTGAGCCATGGTTTTTCTTTGCTTCTCATAATCTCGTTTCATCTGTAAAGTTTTGAGTGACCCACACTGAACCTTGCCTCTTCTCAGTGTCTGCATGCATAAGTTTCATTATCCTTCTTGCATCTGTGTGAGGACTGAGATAACAAGTAGAAAGATATGCACAAACCCACAGGCTTATATTTTTTTTTGTAGAATTTTACATTCAGTCCCCCAGCTCGACTGCCCCAAAGCTTGAAGACTGCCCCAAAGATTGAAGACTGCCCGAAATCTGGACAGTTTGACCATGTCCCCCATTCCAGAGGGTTCTGCAAGAAAGACTACAGATGAATTTAAATCCAAATTACTAGGCAAGAGGAATTTTTCTTTTGCCTCAGTGCTGTTATATATATTCTTACAGACTTCGGACAGTGCTTGGAAAACATCCAGAGAGGAGTCTTTAGTTGGAATATGCAGTTTTGTTAAAGTAGAGACCCTCAGAGAATGTTCTTTTGAAATTATATTTTGGGTCAGAAAAGGGAGAATCTGCCTCTGGACAAATAGCCTAGAATAAAAATTTTCATTGTGACTTTTATTTTTAAGCATGCTGTACTTGAGCAAAAGTCAAAAGGGAACAGGTATGTCCAAGTTTTGTTGAAAAAGATAAACATTTAAAACCCTTGCAGTGCTCAGTAGCAGAAAACTGTATAGTATGAGATGGGGATTATTTTTTCATGGTCTTATTTCTGAAGGTACTTACATCTGCTGCCCATCTCTGCACTGACCTTGACAGCTCTGCTTTGCTCAAGGGTGTTGAGATGAAGGGAATACAGTGCGTTCTTCTTGCCACAAGTGTGAGAGGACAGAGGGAAGGATGGTTTCCTCCTTCCCCCCAGCCCATGTGTCTACAGCCCTGCACCTTGACTCAGCCAATTTTCCCCCACTTATGTCTAGGGCACAGTGTGGGGAAAGAAAGGTTTTTTTATTGTTCTTGTTTTCTTCATCAAAGCATAATTACAGTGTCATAACACAGCAAATTACAACTTTGCCTTTCCTGTTAGGGAGAGGAGTTTGCCTGGATGCTCCCACCTTTTATTAGCCATTACTCATCCCCCCGGCTGGCAGGAGAAGTACGGCGAAGTCAGGATTCTGACAGATGCCCATTTAAAGCTCATTAAAATTCCTGGGTCTCAGCGTGATTGAAGTCACAGGCTCTCCACATTTCCTTTTGGATTAATGGAAAATGAAACCCTAATGAATATTTGCTAAGCACAATTTTCCCCACTAATTTGCTAAAAGGACTGTCATGAAGGAACAGCTGATCCTTTGCATCTTGTGCATTTCCTAGAGGTCATGAGGATGGTCACAGGGTTTCTTTGAAATGGGGGGGACAGTGGTACAGTGGGATAATTAACTAATTAGACACCCCATTATCTGCTTAGCTAAATTACTTTTGAACCTCAGTGGCCCACAATCAGGCACCCCTATTTCATGCCAAGTTTTTCCATCTTCCCTCCATGTCCTGTCTGACTCTTCCTTAGTCTCACTGAGCAACTATCCCTTCTCCAGTCCTTGCTGTAGTTAATTTCCACACAATGTGGAGTTACTGGCATGATAAACTAAATATGAAACAGTCTGAAAGTGTTAAACAAACACCAACTCCCTTAGGTGTCTGTCAGAATTTAGAAAATTCTGCCCAGGAGAAGACCATGGTCCAGAATAGCAGGGAAAAATTCATTCCTTCATCTGAACGTGCCCCAGAGCACTTCTGCTGTGGGATTTGATATCCACATTATAATAGAATGGGTAAAATCTTGGCTTTGATGCAATTAGTGGCAAAATTCCCACTGACATCACCAGAGCCAGCAGTTTGCTCTGTAAAACTGGCAAATTCTTTCAAATATACCAGCTGCATTTCCTGGGGTCTTGGATGGCTTGTGCATGGGTAGGGATTCTGCCTGTGTGTGCTGAGAGACACCTACTAAGGCATAAGGCAGACCAGGATGCACATGACTTCATCTACACCAGGTTTAGAGGTTGGGCTCAAGGAGAGAATAATCCTTAGTTCACCTTGAAATCAGCTTTGCCTCACATTGCTCAGTGACCAAGAGGAAGAGACCAGGGAGGATATGAAAAAGCAGACACCATCCACAAAGTCCAGTTCAGCTCTGAAATGTGGCTTGGAAGTCCATGCTGTGGCTTCTCATATCAACTCAGACATTCAAGGCCAAATTCACCCTGTTCCCAATAACAGAATGATTTTGCTAATTTCAGATGTTGAAAACTCCACCTGCTACTAAGAAACAACCTGGGGTAGTTTGATTTGTTTTACTATCTACACATATGAAAGTTCTGTCATTAGAGTTAAACGAGAAATTTTTTGTAAAATCCATCCATCCATAAGTTACCTATCACAGTTAGATTCCTTGTTAGAGAATTCACAAAACAAGATTTGTCTGCCTCAGCCCTTCTACCTTGTGTTTGTTTTTTTTTGTTTTTTTTTTTTTTTTTTTTTTGTTTTTTTTTTTTTTGTTTTGTTTTGTTTTGTTTTGTTTTCATTTTTGTTTTTGTTTTTGTTTTTGTTTTTCCTGAGTCAGGTTAATCTGGGCACTCCATGGAAGAGTATGTGTTTATGTGTATGACCACCTCTTTGTATATACATGTATATTTTTAAAAAACTGAAGGAATAAGTTGTTCAGCTCAGAATGTTATGAAAAGCTAAGTTAATTCTCAGTGCACACATGTAATGAGTTTTAAAGGACTCTGTCAGGATCACTGGAGCAAGAGGGACATCACAGCTGGTATGACAAAATCTTAGTGAAGACTATCTTGTTGGAGAGAAAGGTCTTGTTTTGGACTGAGTTAATGGATTGTTAGAGATCATTATACTTGGCAGTTCAGGGTTAAATACAGTAATAAAATTATGTACCACATATTTATTTTGGTTTTCAAAAGGACTGTAAGTTCAAAATATAACATATCATGACACGTTATAAGAACAGAATGAAGGTTAATTTCTACCCTGACATCTACCATGGCTCCTGGTTTTATGGATTTAGGTTATAGATATTTCTATTCATTAATACACAAGAAGCACAGATAGCCTTTATTTGGACAAAAAGGAAGGAAAAGTTCTAAGAAATGCACAATTTATGAATGGTCTGTAAATTACAGACAAATCATGCTGGATAATGGAAAAACCTGTGATTGAGTACACAGAGGCACATGGTAAACAACTCTGTGGTGGGTCCATGTTTATTTGGCTTGGTTGGATCGGAGCTGCTAAGCCATTGTTCTACCCATGTTTCTCACTCTCCAGTTCATTGTTAGTTTTTTAGCATGGGGACAGCTGCAGAACCAGCCTATTCCTTGGTGTCCACTGTCTACATGAGTAAAATCAATATCCCTCTGTTGACATCAGCTATCATTGCATCCCCAACACCAGGAATCAGTGTCATAAAGAAAGGCTATGACTAGACTGGCCTTCCAGTGGCTGTGACTAGACTGGTCTTCCAACAATAATTAAAAACAGACTGTCCTGTAAGTTTGTATGAAGTTAGCCAGCAGCCCTTTGGTCAGCTGCACACCTCACCTCTAACAGCAAATACTCAGAAGCTGGAATTTTCTTGTGTCTTCTGCATCTTCTTGCTATTCAGTCCTCAGCATGTTTGAGCACAGGGCAGATGAGAGTCACAAGCCTGCACCACTTTAATATCTAAGTCTACTTCTGAGTTTCAGAAACTATGTCAAGATGTGTAATACCATACGTATTTAAAATTACCCTCAAGTTTTTCCTGATTGACATGACCTGAATCAAGACTTTATCTCTAGCTTTGATTGTTTCGGATCTTTTCCACTCTACACAACCTAGCAGATGCCAGCAGCCCCAGCACTCGTGTGGAAGTAATGACTAGTCTCTACAGGAATGTTGCAGCAGCCAAGCGGCTCTGGGCTTGTTATCCAACAGGGATCCAGGAGCAGAGAGTTAGTGTTGTTATTAACAATGTGATCATTGATGTTATTGTTGTGATATGGCTGGTTCATTAACAAATCAATCTTTGTGCACATCCTTGCAAACATAAAGTACTCTTCTCAGCACTGAGCATTATTATTATTAGAGTTTTCTCTTGCTGTGTTTTCCTGTTAAAGGTTAGAGATGCTTAAAGGTCTTGACCCTCTACTAAAACGAAGTGTTGTGCCTTAGAGATTCTCCCTCTAGAAAGCAGCAGAGAAAGCCAGAGTATCTAAACACTGCAGAAAAAGGGAAGACACTGTGAAAAAACAACGTGCATTGGACTGGTGGTTCATCTCATATATCTGGAACCCAACCATCAACAACAGCTGCCTATAGGAAGGAGTAAGGAGTTATTGTCTGCTGGGTGACACTCACCCTCAACCCATAGAGACACACCATACCTTGCAAACACAGGGGTCTTTGGGCAATGGGTCTTCAAGGTGTACACAACAGCTATCCCTTGATTCTAATAGCTCCTGGTACAATGCTATGCTGAACAATGATCTGCTCGCCATTTTGTCCTGTGCTTAATCTAGCCCCAGTAAGTAATAAAAAGCAAAGTCCTTCAGCATGGGGGAAACATATCTGTAATGATACGTTAGGTCTGTGCATCTGTTCTCACAGCAGGGACATGTACTAGAGCTAATCAGGAGCTGGAAGTTGTGTTCCCCAGGAAATTCTGACATCGGAAAAAATTAATTCCAAATTAGATTGAAATGCTGACATTTCTAATTTTCTTACAAAATAAGATTTCTCCCCCAAAGTAGTTCTAGGCCATCAGAATGTTTTAGTTTGATAGAGTAATCTCATTTCATTTAATTCTGACTGTTACACTATATTAAAATATTAAATGTCATTATATATATATAATAACACGTATAACATAGAATATATCTGAAGTAGTGATCTAATAGAGGATAAAAGTTGAAATGTAATTATTTAAAATGAAGGTCTCTACACTAAGCTGAAGTACCTGACTTAAATGCCTCACATAGGCAAGCAGTCCCCTCTTCTTGTCAAAAGAGATCAGTGGCCTCCCTGGAGGACAACTGGGACTACCTGAGTGGGTTGTCTCTGAGAATCCCACTGCCCCTTTCTGACTGTAAAGGGAACATTACATGGCATGGTTGCCTCCCAAAATATTTACGTGCATTAGTAGGAGATTCACCTCTCCTTTTCATGCCTTCAGTGAAGCCATCCAGACCTGTAGACTAGATAACCCAGACTCCTCTCATAGACAGTATAAAGAAATAGGTACTTTTACTACATGATTTATGTCATTGTGATATAGAGATTGTGCTCTGAAAGGCCTGATTTCTGTTTCCAGATTGTCAAAGGAGGCAGAAGGGACTAAATTAGCTCTATATAACAGGTGTCTGAAATCACGTTAGTGGCTTCTAATGAAGGGCCACAAATGCTTTATTTCCTATTAAATTCTTTATTCCAATGCAGTTGCAGTTTTATCTGCATTCTTATTGCTTGTCTTGAACACAGACCCCCCACTGGACACTACTGGCTACTCTGCTAGCAAGTCTTTCCATGTTCCACACACATCAGCATGCTCCCCTCCCTGGGGACTGAGAGGATCTCAGCAGTGATGCCTCATGAGGGTGTTCCTGCATACTGATTTATACCAGTGTCAGTGATGCTGTGCCACATATGGAAATGGAGGAAAGACTCCGTGGGCTAGGGACTGAAAGCAATTGAGCATTTAATGGATACTCTATAGGCATATGAGTAGGGGAACCAATGTGGTGGAGATGGTGTGCTGGGGCCAGAAAGGAGGACATCCCATTTACTCACCTTCTCTCTGTTGCTGTGGGATCATGGGAGGTGGCTGTGGGAACGCTTGGCTAATCTGGCCATAAGCAGCAGGATAAGCAGCTACAGGGGAGAGAAGGGGAGAGAAGAAAGAGGGACAGATTTCAGTGCTGAGGAGCAAGGACCTTTCATTCCAAACCATCATACCAAGCTAGATGTAGGATTTCCCCCTGCATTTTGGCTCTGTGAAGCGCCATCTTGTGCAGCCTGAGATGAGGCAGAAGTACCATGGTTGTGCTCCAGGAGGTGCCACATGGCCCACGCACCCACCCTCCCTTCAGCTTCATCAGCAGTAACACCAGGGACAGCCAGGCCATGTAAATAGTGGTCTTTGACTAGATCTCTCCCAGCAGAGATGTGTAACCATCCCAGATGGTGCCACAAACACATTCATTCAGGAACTCAGCATGTTGGTGCCCATGCTGACAGACACAAACAGAATGCATGTACACGTCTCCCTGTGTAATCTCTCTTGCACCCTGATAAATTCACATGCTCATAAAAACAGTTCACATGCGATTCCTCCCTTACTGTAATCATTGTATGCCCACACACTGTATAGGCACACTTGTATGTACATTCTCATATATACATTTTCTTTCATGTCCATAGAGACTTCCTCTCTCACACACACAGTGGAAACAGTGTGTTTGTAGCAATTAAACAATTTTCCCCACCTCAACTCCCCCACCAAGAAGACAAGGGGAGCCATTCAGTACCACAGATGGTAGATGATGGGCTTTGCTGCTAAAAATACAGAGTACGGGTCTCCTGCGAGCCCAAAGAAAGGGGGATAGGGGCCATGTGTGTTCAGAGGGGTTAATTAACAGCTCAAAGGGTTGAGATGCTTCTCATCTATCAAACCTCACAAGCAATAAATGACAATAACTAAAACATCAGCAAATGAAGCCCTACATGGAGAATTAAATTAAGTTTCCAGATACAGCGCTGACATGAGATAATAACCATTCCTCAGCGGGAGCCCATGATTGCTCCAGTTACCACAGGAAATAATGACTTTGGGGTGTCAGCTTCCTTGCAACGTTAGCCATGGACTCCTCACAAGGGGAGGCTGAACACAGCAGGGTCGTGGTCTGCACCAGGTCATTTTAGCTGATGTCAGTCCATCAACTGCAAAGGAGGTGCTCAGTGTACAGGGCAATTCGGTTGTAGGCTGACTCATTGGGAGCTGTAGAGAAAGCTGCTGGGAAGCCAGGCGTATGTCTGTACAGCTCCTAAGCAAGCCTCAAACTAACCAGCTGGGGTATGGCTTGTGTAGACATACCCTATGTGCAGGCATACCATACCCTGTTAGGCACAGCAGCAGTAGCTCTGCTTGCCCATTTCCTCTCCTCACTGCAGCAGAGAGGAGACCTGTTATAAAAAGTGGCCTCCAAGTCAGTGGCCTGATTTTGTGTTTGTGCACTGCGCTAAGCAGACTGGACCTGGCCCTGTTGGAGAAGGTGCACGGAGGTACAGGTCAGTGGGAGCCTGTCCCTGGGGAAAGGGAGGAGGTTGTCTCTTTAGGGTGAGAAGACCCTGGGATTTACGTTTATTTTCACAACAAGTGGGAATTTAATCTGACAGTCAGTGGCCCCCAGTTCACCACTGTAACAACAAACACCTCCCTTCCCAGAGCCCCCTCAGGTACATTAAGAGATCAAAGTCTTTAGAGAAGAGAAAGTTTTATTGGGAGAAAGTGTTAATACTAACGACCTGCGTACTGCTGCACTCCAGCGTAGGCTTGCTGCAAGGGGTCTGCTGCAGTAGGGCTCTGTGCTGTGGAGACACAAGAGACAGAAGGAATTAAGGTGTTAAAACATGACAGGCATTCTTTTTTTCTCTTTCTTTATCAATACGTGGTGTGAGACAGAAAGACCAAGGGGCTGAAGGTCCCAGAGGAGCTGCAGCTTGCTCATCCTATGGACAGGACTTCAGAGCCCCACATAATGGCCAGGAGACCTCTGTCCCCTAGTTGTCACCCTGTGAGACTTTGGAGCACAGGGCAAACAAACCTCTCTCCTCCTTTCCCAAACTTAAATTATGGAGCCCACCTCTGATCATGCAGATTTCTGACACTGCAATAATCAACCCCAGAGAGCCCTCATCTTATGCCAGGACTGACACTGTGATAAGTGCTGTGCAAACTCAGATTTCAGTGACAGCTACAGTCACATGAAACTTTCAATCAGAGCACAAAACAACAGGCTCATAACAGGGGGAAGGAGAAGAGAACAAAGCAGTGGCTCCTGCCATCCTGCCATCGTTTTGAAGGACTGTGTTGCTGCCAGGCAGCCTTCTGTGAGAGAGGAGATGCTGCTTGGAGGGGAAGGGGACACCACTTGTCTGCTCCAGGGACGATGCTGTGAATCTCTGTGTAAGGCATGCAGTCCTTTGCCAGCTTCAAAGTACATTTTTTCTCTTTACAAGTGTGCATTCCTTCCCCCTAAAATTGTTTATTTTTGTGAAACTTTGAAGTCTAGCTCAAATACAACCAAAGCTAGTTAATATTTTTTTTTTTTCTTTCTTTTTCCCCTTTGGTTGTAGAGAAAGAGAGAGAGAGAAATGTGTTCGATAAGGTCTTTCTTTATCTGCAGCAATAAAATATTTAAAGCAAAGCTTGGCTGAACCTCCAGTCCAAATGTCACCTTGACCCTAGTATTTCATTTCTTGTTATGAATTTAATTTGTATTTATTGGTGCTGCACCATTCTACATTTACACAGTCCCTCTGGCTTCTTACTTGTAGGATGAGCCCTTAGGGAGCTGCACTTTCCCCCCTCCATCCTACCTTCTTCCATCTTACAGGCACAGAAGTGTGGCTGGAGACAAGGGCTTGGAGGGTGCAAAGGTGTGGGCCTCTTGGAATGAAATTTGGTGCCATTGACCTATCCAAGGAGAGACACTGACTGTATGCCAAAGTGTGAGGGAGGTTGACAAACATGAGCGTTACAGACTCAAAGACCACGGATAAAATGTTTTCTTACAAATGCAAATACCAGCTTCAGCTTTAACTTCAAAGATTACCATTGATCAAGATGGATACTTGCAAGATCTTGCACTTTTCTTCCAAAATACAAGGAGGAAAGGTGACAAGACCAAACTTTGAGGGGACAAACCCAATTAGCTGGCTAAGGCTTGGAAGATCCTGTTCATTATGGGCATTACAGACCATGAGGACTAGAGTATGGGCTAGTCACAAGAAGAAATAAGTGGGATCACAGTCTTAAATCAGAATCTGTTTGGTTGATTTCCTAGTTGACTTTTTGCAGGTCCCTGAATATGTGTGTATGTGAAATGGAAAAGCACTGTCCTACTGTAAGGATTTTCACCCCTTGGAAAGAGTTGTGAGGAGAATACATTAAAACCTGTGGGAGATCAGTGGAAGGCATAATAGAGATAGAAAGCTATATTTTAAAAGCATAGATGCTCCAGGAAACTGGAGGAAATGCTTGGAAAATACAAAAACTGTTTCCATTTATTCCTGCTTTGTTGAAGAAGGAAACAACTAAAATCTGTTCTTTTTAACCTCTGCTCAAAACTCTTCCTCTCTAAAACTAGAATATTGAGCATATTGCTCCAGAAGAAAACTGAACAGCTATGAAATGTTGAGTGATACATCAGTTCCCACACCCCCTTGGGAGAATGAATCACAATAACTTGGACCCCTCAAAATGACCAAATCCTGTCATGTAGAAGATATCTCCTGAGGAAGGTGAGGGGACATATGGTAAAGTGAGCAAATCTTTGTAAGACAACTATGGTTTTGCCATCACCAGTAAAGGAGATGATCTACTGTGTCTGCTCCAGAGGTAACTGCCCTTCCTTGGCTGCACTTGTATTTATCGAGCTAGAAGAAGTAATTGTTTCCACTGCTCAGAAGATACACGCAGCATTTCCTTCCTCTGCAACTGAGGCTGCATTCAGGCATGCTCGTTTGCTCTCTGACATGCTGACAATTAGCAGTGACTGCCTCTTTGTTGATATGAGAGAAGTCACTGAGCAGTGTGTGTCTGACTGGTCCTCTCCTTTATTCCTTGTATAAGCTGGGCACACGTAAGAACTGCCCACTCTCCCAGCTACATCCTGAACAGGACCACACGGTTCTCTGCAGAGTTGCTCTCCTTACCCTGTTTGTGGATATCCTGCCTGCCTTTGGAGCCATGCTCTGTCCATAACTAAGCTATTCTGCTTGGGAAATACACACTGAAAAACATGGTTCATCTTTAAGATTAAATATTAAAACTGGACAAATGCTTTATTTAAAGGGTTTGGGACAAGAGGCTTTTAAATGCAGCCTTTTCCCCTCCCACAAGAAGCTTTTAGAGTTCATTAACTTCCTGAGTCTTAATGACTTGTCAGCAAGGGTAGTATCTAACTATGTATTTCTTTCTCAGGAGGATGCATTGTGCCCCAGATCACGCAAGGAATTTCCTCATGGCTCACAGTACATGCAAAACAGTGGGAAGACTCTCCTCTCATTTCAGTCAGATTTGCTCCAAGCCAGGAATCAATTACTCATAGGTAAAGAAGAGGCAAGGTGGCTGGTCTAACACACAGGACCCTAGCACTGATCCAACCATCCCTGGACGTTCTTGAAAAGGAGCAAGTTGAAAACATCTGGGAATCTAGGATTAGACAGCATGAGAAGGCAACAATGTCTGGCTTGAGACTCTGGATTTTACTTGTAATCTCATACCCTATCTTGATTCTTTGGGAAAAGCAGTTGTAGTGAGTCACCACCTGCAGGAATTTAACTTGTCAGCTCTTAAAAACAGAAGTGATGACCTTTGCTCAATGAAGAACTCATCTTCCTTAGCTCGAAGAGTGTGCCTACTCAGCAAATGAAGGTGTGACTTCAGTACAGTAGATGTACCCATTCTGGCCAACACAGCCTATAAAGATGCAGGGTCACAGACTCCAGGACAGGCTGGGTACCCCAGCACAAAGATATGGTAGCTTGGGCAGCCATGAGCATATATCTTCATGTTGCTGCTCACTCTGCCAGATGAATTAAACCTAGCGAAGGGCATAACTGTCTGAGGTCTCAGCTGTAGTGTGGATAAAGCCAACAGCTGGTATTGATGCAGAAATTTCAAGACAAAGATTAGACATTTGAGGAAGTTGTGGTCATGTTGTGTTTAGTAAAATGACAGTCCTACATACTAATGACCTATGAGAAGTTCAACAACTACTCAGATATATGAAGGGCTCATGATCCAGAGCCGACTTGCCCCAGGAGTTACGTGTGAATGTAGGTTGGAGCACACCACACACCGTAGTTCAAATTTATGGGGAAGCAGGCATCTTCTCTGTGTCTCAGCACAAGGACATCATGAGGGAATGTTGCTTTATTCCTCCATAAAATACACAGAAATTAATAGGGTGTACAACCCTGTGGCCTTCACACAGATCATGCTCCACTAAGGTCAGAGAGTTAACCTGTCTCAGCCACCCTTTCTCCCCATCCAGCTGGCCAGGCTTCTCTGTTACTACAAATATTAGTTAAACATGGGCATGCAGAGTAGGGAACAGACCTCAGCTTCTCTGCATGCTGTCTGTGTCAGGGTGTAAGCCCACTGTGGCCCAGAAGGTAAATAACTGAGTAAGGGCTGATAAGAGTTATAAGGGGTAGAGGAGACACTAACTGAGGGATATGGATATCATAAAGAACCTTAAAGGGGCTTTTGGACCAGAACTAGCATGTCTTTAAGTTGTAACATCATCAAAAGACCTTGGATGTACTGGTCACTGTGCAAATGGACCCATAGGTAACACCTGAAATAGTTTTCCTTGTGGTCAGACTCATGGAGATCTTACATCCAACATAGAGACATTTAAGAGATTTAATGTGGTGTAATGTACACACTGAGGATCAGCTGGTGACATGAAAGAAGCAGAGAGTCTCCTGAGAGGCCAGAAGACAACTGTCAATCATGTCAGCCTCACTGAAGTCCATGTAGCATTGCTGCTTTGCAGAAGCTATGTGAAAACAAATGCTAATAGTAACTTAATTTGGCAGCTCAGGGCAAGAGCCTTATCCCTGGACATCGCCTCTATATTAATTTGATCATTTCCATATCTCCATAGGGAAAATCCTGCTCAGATACAATTGTCTCTTTTCGAGATGATCCTGGACAAGATGCCACAAGGTGACAATGGCAGATAACCTTCCATAAACCTGGAGACATAAAACAAGGCAATGACCTACTATATGGCCATAAATATAAATTTAACGAAGGCAGCACTTATTCATTAGGCAGAAGTCAAGAAATGACTCCCAAGTCCTTCAAAGAAAGTAGATCTGTTAATGTCACTTTACAAATCCTCTTCCTGATGCCAAAAACCAGGGATGATTTCTCAAGTCAGCATGAAATACCAATGCTTTAAAATTAACACCAGGAAGCTTTCTTACTACTGATATATCTCTAGATTGAAATCCAGCTTTTTAAAGGGGCATGTAGCTAGTGTTAGGCCCGACATTTAGCTTTTGTCAGACAATGAAAGTATGGAGGTGGCAGAATGAATCATGTTGTTTAAGTGATGTTCTATAAAGAATCCTTCATAAGATGTCAGTAACCTGGCTACAGTGTCTGGCCAAGATGAGCTGTTCTATGGACACTCCAGGAGAAAATGTTTGTAGGGGACAGAGGGCTGGAGTCTGCTGTGATGGTCAGGGGCATAAATAAGGAGAAGCTACACTGAAGTCAGTAGGGATGTTGAAAAAAAGAAAAGGATGATGGTTACTGCCTGAGCCATCAAAAGGAGGCCCATGCATTT